GCGGTCGTTTTGTCGGTAGATGGTCTCAGTTTCGAGGCCTGTTCTTTGTTACCCACCCTTCTTCAGTATTGATACATGAGCGCCACTCCATGGTGAGGAAACAGGAGACTTAAGCTGTACTTACTACATAGCTGCTGCTGACTCTACCTTTAAAATAAAGCGCTCCGAAGTGATATCATTGATATGGAGATCAGCGCTCCGCCATTAACTTCATTAAAAGAACGGTATCAGAAATGGCCTATCCTGAAGGCGTAGGATGACCAACATTCCGATGGTTACTAACTTTGTTTCCTTTATTTTTTCCGGTCAAAGATGCTCATAGATATGGTTGTATAATTAGAGTGCTTTTTAGCTGAGGTATTATCGTTGATCACGCTTCATAAGTCACTCATAAATTGGGGGCAGTGGACATTTAGCAGATGACATCGAAAATTCATGAAAATCATGTTAATTTTTCTGTATATATTGACAACAGAGGTCGAGCATTTTCGTTGCCTCTTTAATCAGCGGCAAAACAGTTGAACGCGTTATGCAAATGTTTGTTTAAAAATACGAATATATTTGAAATCCGACAGCGTACAATAGCCTCAGGGTTTAATTAGCCGCATGAAAACTCTAGACTCAGACTCTATCGTCGAAATCTAGTAATTGTTACAAATTTTTGCTGAAACACTTTACAAAATAATTGGCATTATGGCTGGTTTAAATCTTGTTTTTCAGTTTGCAAGAACTCCACCTCAGTCTCAATGACTTTTCCATGAAACCGGAACCTCAGAGCGGCGACGATGACAGTACCTCATCTCAGCCGTGTTTTGACAGCGTACGCATCCTTGCCATCGATCAGTGTTGCATGACTCACTGGGAGAGGGTAACGGCGGTGTGCCGCTACTTTCCTAATCTGCAGGGCCTAATCGCTTCCGGCAACGAGGTAGCGGAGTTCGGCTCGTCCGAAAGCATAAAGAGGCAATTCCGGATGCTCGAATCATTAAACGTCAATCACTGGCGAATCAACGACTGGGACTCGTTGAATGTGTTCCGCGTTTTCCCTTCTTTGCGCAGCCTCCGCCTCAAGAGCATTCCCTTGTTCGAGGTAGGCATCGTCTGCTGCCGGTGTTGTTGTTTTCAGGCGTTGCTAACGTCGGCGTGCAGAATTTAGACGACAAGCAGCGCATACGCTTAGCCATCGCCTGTCTTCCGTCCATCGTTGTCCTTAACGGCACCAATGTGGAGGATGACAGGCGCGAGGACTCTGAGCGCTACTTCATCAGGCACTTTCTGGACGTGCCTGCGAAACCCGAACGGTACGCCGTCTCGAGCCTTAGTACCGTATTTATTCATACGATCGTCTTTCAGGTATTACGAGCTGGTGGCAATACATGGCCATCTGCAACCGTTGCTCGACATCGACCTGTCACCAAAACTGACCGCCGACGTGATGGTCGTCTACGAGGACACAAACAAAAAGGAAGTAAGGCACGTTCGGCTAAGACAGTCCGTA